GTAAGGCTTGATTGTCTAAGGGACGGAGAGAATTGCTGAGATTAGTAAAGACGGAAATGTAGGGAAGGCAGAGATAGAAGAGTTCCATGAGTAGAGAGTTTGGGAAGAGAAGAAATGCGTTTTAGCACGTGAGAGGGCAGAGTCTATGAAAATGGGAAGGGTAGCCAAGACGAGAGGAGAACGAATTATGAAGAGTGGAAATTTCTGCTGGAAAGGGGAACTGAGGATCACAGATGCGGAGTGCAAGGAGAAAGAGGGAGATAAGAAATTTCCTTGACAGGGAAGCATGATAAGGTATAGAGTGAATGTCATGCCATGATGTGCATAGGTTTAAACGGTAAACGAAAAGGAAAAAACCTGTATCTGAGCGGAGTGAGCAGGACATCAAGGAAACGGAGAAGTAAGGAATTAGATCCATCAGCTTTTAACTTAATGGAAGGGGCAAAGATTGATTAAGAGCTTACAAAGAAAAGGTTTGGAGAGACATGGAGTCATGAGGCCACAGAGCTAAGAATAGTCATCCAACTAAGCGGAGCCAGAGTGAAGGTTGACATCGAGAGGTAGGAAGGAAGAACAGTCTCGATAGGTATCCATGTAAAGATTAGCAAGGACAGGAGAGAGAGGAGAGCCCATAAACGACACGAAGGTTGGAGAATTAATAATATTTCCCCTTGGAAGGAAAAGGAGTTAGAGTCCACACAGAGGCGGATCAGATCAAGAAAGACATCAGTGGGGATAGGGAGATGAAGAAACCCTTCATGGGCCTTCTCTCTAAGGAAATCAAGGACATCATCAAGAGGGACATTGGTGAAGAGGGACTCAACGTCAAGACTAAGCATCTTACAGGTTGGGAGAGAGCGAACCCGTTCAATGAAGTCTTGAGAGTGACGGAGGTGGGCAGGAGAAAAAGTACCAAGAAAGGGAGTGAGGGTTTTGGCCAGCCAAGAAGCAAGAGAATAAGAGACAGAACTTCTAGAGGATATGATAGGACGAAGAGGAATATCAAGTTTATGAGTTTTGGAAGGCCATAGAAATAGGGAAGAGAGGACAGATGACACGAAACCGTTGAACAAGGTCAAAGTCAGGAGGACAGAGGTCGGAGAGAGTCCTTAGTTTTTTGTTGAAAGTTCTCTTGATGCGAGAGGAGTGTAGGTGCGTGAGTCAGAGAGCAAGACATCAGCTTTACGGAGGTAATCCTCGCGATCAAGGATAACTACTGAATTACCTTTGTCAGAAGATAGTATGACAATGTTAGTGTTAGATTTAAGAGAAGAAAGGGCAAGTTGGTAACGGCGTGGAAGGTGGTGATTCTCGGAAAACAGACTAACAAGAGCAGGAAGGAGAGCACCACGAAAAGTGGACAAGTCAGGAAGATTACGGAAGCGAGATTGACGAAAGGAATCAAAAGAGCTAATCAGGGAAATACCAGCGCGAGGAGTAGGCGAAGTGGCAAAGGAAAGACCAAAACCAAGAAGTTCAAGCTCATATTGAGAGAGTGAGACAGAAGACAGATTAGTAACATAGTCAGTGAGGGAGAATTTAGACAAGGGCTAGCTGAGATGAGACGTTGAAGTTTATTTTGTAGTTTGGAAGAATGAATTTGTGCATTCAGGTGAGCAGTGTCAAAGGCAATGGTAGAGAGAAGGTTACAGAGATCCTGTGGTAGAGCCACAAAGAGAGCACGCTGACGTTGACGGAGAGTAAAGAAGGCATCTTCAACCTGTGATTTAGTAGAAAGAATGAGCTGTTGAAGTAGGAGACGGGCATGATCAGGAAAGGGAGTGCCCAGTGGGTTGGTTTTCAGGAAGTGGGAGAAGGAAGGTGGCAGAACTTGTTCAGCAAGACAGTCACGTAGGAAGTGAAGCTGATTCTTACGAGCATAAATTATGCCCAGACCACTAACTTTGTGCCATCAAATTTCATGCTTTTGGTGTCATTACCTTAAGAAAAATGTTCTCTACCATTTCAGAAAAATAAAAATATCTTTTCTTTAACCACCGGCGTTATCCACCTGAGGCGGGGTGGACCAAAAGGGAAAAAAACGAAGTTTCTCCTTATACATTTAGTAATATACATCAGGAGAAGAGGTTACTAGCCCTTGCTCGGCATTTTAGTTGCTCTTACACCGGCTATGGCTTCGGAGAAAAATTCTGGTTCACTTCCTCCATGAGAATAAGAGGAAATAAACAATGATATAAGAACTAGAAGAAATTTAGAGCAAAACCAGAGGGAGTGTATATATGTGCTTGCTACATGTCATGTGTATTGTGACCTAAGTGTAAGTAAAGTAGCAAGACGTACCTGAAAGCTTAGCATGATTCTTGAGACAGAACAAAAGGACCACCAGCAATCTACCATATGTAAAAAAAACAATTACTAGGCTTTTGTTTTACACTCACTTGGCAGGACGGTAGTACCTCCTGGGCTTTGCTGTCATACAACAACTACATAAATACAAATTGTAAAATATATAATTTTTAAAATTTTTACACACTAGAGAGCAGTTTCACTTTGGGTTTGACAGTGAAAAGGTTATATTCACCTCTTCACACTGTAGATTAAAAAAAACTACATGGGTAATTCTTATAAACAATCTAAGACTAAAATAGTTTGTACAGTATATATTAATACTTCCTAGGTAGTAGGTTGGTAGACAGCAACCACCCAGGGAGGACTACTGTCCTGCAAGTGAGTGTACAACAGAAGCCTGTAATTGTTTTACATGATGGTAGGATTGCTGGTGACTTTTTTTTGTCTCTTAAACATGCAAGATTTCAGGTACATCTTGCTACTTCTACTTACACTTAGGTTACACTGCACATGCATGTACGTACAAGCATATATATACACACACACCTCTCTGGGTTTTATTCTACTTCCTTAACCCTTTCAGGGTCCAAGGCCCAAATCTGGAGTCACGCACCAGTGTCCAAGAATTTTCAAAAAAAAAATTTGTTATTTTTTCTTATGAAATCGTAGAGAAATCTTTTTGTGAAGGTAATAAAACAAAAAGTACGAAATTTGGTGGAAAATTGACGAAATTATGCTCTCGCAAATTTTGATGTGTCAGCGATATTTACGAATCGGCGATTTTGCCGACTTTGACTCCCATTTTAGGCCAATTACATTATTCCAATCAACCAAATTCTTAGCTATTTCACTAGTATTACTTTCTATCGATTGAGCACAAGAAATCGCCAAGTCAACTGTTTCAACTACAAATATAAGTGATCGGAAATTGTTAATTTGGCCAATTTAACACAAAGTTCAAAATATTCCAATTTCAAAATAGGGTCCAGAATGAACAATGTAGGCATTCCTGGCACTAAACTAACATTTCCTCTGTTCATTAGTTATGTTTTGAGGCTTTACAAATAAATTCCATTTTGATTTTTTATCACATAATGAATTTTTATTCACACCAAAAAATAGAAGATTTACTGTTATGCAATACTGTAATAATTGTATAAATATCATCACCATATTTGTGAATGTATATTAGACCCACCAGCTGACGTGTATTAGACGTGTGAGGTCGTTTGTTTACTCTTGAATATCGGCAAAAATTTAACATTTCTGCTACTTTGAGCTCAGTTTCAAGCCATTTCCAATGCTAAAACCAATCAAAATCATCTCTATTTCTGTAATATGTCTTCCATTCTATCAAATGAGACCAAGAAATCGCAAATACAACTATAAAAAACATACGAAAAAACACTGCAAAGTTGCTGTTTTAATCGAAAAATCATGATTTAATTTTTTTTCTCTCATTATACACAGTGTGCTGCAGGATCTGTTTTATGTGGTGCACACATACCACATAGATGTATTCTCTCATATCTAGGCCCAAATGTACCACTCACAGTTTATCAGAGTGAGCTGAGCTCATGGCGTAGATCTACGGTTTGGACCCTGAACATAAAGCCGTAGATCTACGGGACGGACCCTGAAAGGGTTATTAGTTCTTGTTCTTGTTTATTTCCTCTTATCTCCATGGGGAAGTGGAACAGAATTCTTCCTCCGTAAGCCATGCGTGTCGTAAGAAGTGACTAAAATGCCAGGAGCCATGGGCTAGTAACCCCTTCTCCTGTATACATTATTAAATTTAAAAAGAGAAACTTTTTTTTCTTTCTAGGTCGTCCTGCCTTGGTGGGATACAGCCGGTTTGTTAAAAAAAGAAAAAAGACTTGTCATAATTAATGGTGTTCCAATAATTTATAAATTAGACCAGCAGTGTACAGGAGGTTTTACCCAGCAATAATCAAATATTTCTGCTATTTTGAGTTCAATTTCAAACTACTACCCAATAGAAACCAGTCAAAATCATCCCTACTTGCACAGTATGTTCATTCCTGCAACTAACCAATTTTAGTAGTATATCTTCTATCAAATGATACCAAGAAACAGCCAATAAAGCCATAAAAACTATCCTAGAAAACATCTCAAAGTCACTATTTGAAACCAAACACAAGGTCGTAAGTTAGCTCTTCCCATCATACACCATGTGAGGCAAGATTTTTTTTTACACTGCGCACACTCACTGCACAGACTCATTCATGTCTTGGCCAAAATTTACTGATCACAGCTTATCTGAGAGCACTGAGCTCAAAATGTAGGTCTACATAAGTGACCCCTGGCATAGATCTCTATACAAAACAGTGAAAGGGTTAATAAATTTTAAAATCAACCATTTCTTTTATTCTCCTTACTTTCAGCCTAAGTAGTTTTATTTTCCTGTAAGAAATCCTCGATTATACTATAGTTTAAATCTTACAGAATAATTTCCTATACAGTTTATTCTCATACATCTGGAAGATTCTTCACTCAAATGAAAGCAGAACTATTAAAACAAACATAATATTTACAACAGAAAACTGGGTGTTTAGCAGTCAAATAAAAATATTTTTATATTGAATATTATTATTATATTCTTGGGGAATGGGTGGAAATCAGGTTTCATCAAAATAAGGTGAGGGTAACTTCAATTCCTTGGATCAAGAACCCTCACCAGTACCCTATGGGGAGTTTCTGCTGAGATAATCATTATCCAAACATTTTGGTAACAATTCAGCCTGTGACATTTTACATGTTATTCTGCCTTGAGACCAAACAAAGGATGAACAGAGATGAGTAAAATTAAATAATATAAAAATTTCACAAAGCACTGATCTACAATATACATACGTGAGATGATAACCAAGCCCAAACTTGTTTTTTAGGAAAAGAGAGGAGCCACAACACCGAAGTCTGCCACGTGAAACAACTGCCTTCCTATCAGCCAAAATATCAGCTTCGTCCATAAAATGGGTTGTCAGTAGGATTACCTGTTAGAGACATGTAATTCATAAAGGAATATTGTAAAAATTTTTTAAGCACACTGACTCTCCCACAGAGTAGGGTGAGCCAAAAAACAAAACATATACACCAACATTCATTCAAGCTGTCTTGCCAGAAATGTGTAGGCATTATAGTTTAAATGACCCTTCGAACTGCAACATCCCCACATTTTCTTCAGTGTAGGGAATGTATCTCCCACCTCCAGGACTCAAGTCTGGCTAACTGTAATAAAGTTGGTAGAATTACCGACAATATGTAAAGTAAAAGGACACAAGTGCAACTAATGTGACATTTTATTGTGGCAACGTTTCGCTCTCCAGGAGCTTTATCAAGCGAAACGTTGCCACAATAAAATGTCACATTATCTGGCTAACTGGTTTCTCAAAATCCCTTCATAAATGTTACCTTGCTTACACTCAAAATTTCAGATGCTATAAAAACCATTCATCTTCAATCACTTTGATCTAACACACTCATATAAGTCTGCTGGATGCTCAAACTCTTAGTGTTCAAAATATCTTTAGCCCTCTCCCATCATGGAACAACCCCTATCCTTCTTTCCTTCCACCCCAGATTTACACACCCTCCTAGTCATCCTATTTTTCTTCATCCTTTCTAAATACCCTAACCCCCTCAACATTTCTCCTCATCCCTCAGAATTATACCTTTATTAACTCCACCCCATCTTCTAATTTCTATGCTCTACATGCTATGCGTAATATTCATACCACTTGTCACTCTCAAATAAATAACAAAAAGGCACAATACCGTGACTGGAACGATACATTGACTTTGTCAATGGTCCAAGTCGGACCGAAACGTCGTCGTAAGCTTCTCTCTTTTATGTGCGGGTTATTTGTGTATTGTCACTCTCAAGTATGACATGTCCACTGATTCTGACTTCCTCCTTTCACCAATATTTAAAACCCATGCCTCACATCCACATAGAAGTGTTGGTACCACTGAACAGTATTTTGGTACAATACCTTTTAGTACCTCCATAGATAAACTGATTTCTTTCCATAGATGCCTCATCTTTTTCCCTCATCTATTCCATGATTCACCTTCCATATATCTGAATACATTCATACAAACCTGTTGGACATCCAACGGGCTTCTGAGAGCATGTTAGATAGGAATGAATGTAGGTAAGCAGTTTCTTTGATTAGACATGCTGTTGGGGGTGACATTTATGAAGGGATTCAGGAAAACCGGTTTGCCAGACTTGAGTCCTGCATTCTGAAGGAGGAATGGAGATGTTGCAGTTTGGAGGGCTATTTGAAGTATAAAATTAGCACCCTTCTCGAAAGATAGTGATTGAATGGGTGCAAGTGAAAATGTTTTCTTCTTTGTCAGGTCACCCAACCTCAGTGGGAGACATCAGTAGTGTTAAAAAAAAGAGCTCACTTCCTTCATACTCCCTCTCTTCAATGTGATATCCAGTTTTTCACTGCCTAAACTTTTGTTACTTTCATCACTGCTCTCTTCTATGCTTTCTTTTAATTTCCGTCTTTTGCATTCTCAAATTCCTTCACTTATCTTTGTAATTTCTCTTCAGAATCTCTCAAAAGAATTGTGTCTTCTGAAAAATGCAGCCATGGAAAGCTACACTTTGTGTTCCACACCTCTTCAAGACCTTTACAGTCAATTCTTTTACAACCCCATCTATAAATACTGTATATTTAACAATCATGGTGATATTACATATCCCTGTCTAAGGCCTAATTTTACTGGAAAATAGTCCCCCTCTCTCCTATGTATCTTAACCTAAGCCTCACTATATGCATAAACTTTTTACTGCTTTTAGTAATCTACTATTTATTCCATGCATTTAGAAAATTTGCCATATTGCTTCCCTATAATGGAATCAGGAAATAATTTAATATTTATTTTATCGTGATCAGCTGTCATCTCAGTCTTAGGTGTCTTCCTAAATTTACATACTGTATTAAATTTAATACAAGACAATGGAGATATTAAAATCTTTATCATCAATAAAATAACAGGCATGAAAACTATAACAGTATGTGATCAACACCTATTTGTAGCTTCTGGAGAGGAGCTACCGGTGTGCTTGACATAACATGTCTTCAGTACTATGCTGAGGTTAGCATGTATTTATTTTTAAGTTTCTAGTTGTTGTTGCACTCTACTGCTAATAGATACCATTACTGGAGCATATACAACTAGATGTGAAGAAATATCTTCAATTGTCCTCTTCCCTCCTGCACCCACCCTGCTACATCCACAAATTTCTGCTGCATATTCTAACACTGGATTCTTATATATATCCCACACCTCTTCAATCCCCCTCATTACCTATACTCTCACTAGCCCATCTTTTTCCCAACAGATGCCTGTATCTTACCCTAAATGCCTCCTCCTTTAGTTTATGCACTTTCACTGTAGCTACAACTAAATAATGATCTGATATATCTGTTGCCCCTCTATAAACATGTACATCCAGAAGTCTACCCATCAACCTTTTATCCACCAATAAATAATCAAACAGAGTACTGTCATTACACCCTATATCGCATCTTGTACATTGAAAAAATCTCCATTAACACATTAGGCTCAAACTACTGAACTCCAACAAGGAAGACATGAGTGAATGTACCTGGCTATATTACCATGCTTTATCTTCTTTTTTTTTAATACTGTATATATTACCTGTTACCAAACCTCTTTCTAAACAAAGTTCAATCAAAGGGTAGCATAATAGAGCTGTTTAAACTTTCTCATTAGTATGGCGAGTATTAATGAGTAATTTTTAATTTGTTCTTCTGTTATTAATCCCAGTCAATACTGTTTTTCACAGTTATGTTTTACATCAATAGACCTGACTATGCTATTCATTAGCTATAGAGTATTTAGTTTCTTTGCTGTGATCTGTCTAGTGGGACAATGCTTACTTTAAAGGTTTTCGTAGAAAATACTGATCCATATGTCAATATCCTGGTTTTCAGTAAACTCTGTTAGTCAATGTCACTGACTGCTGTGATTAAGTTATAAACCCTTTCACGACTGAGATCCCTGATCTCAAACTTGCTCTCTGAGTTGAAGAATTTAAATGAAAATGATATTTTATCTAACGAAATGATAAAGAATCCTTTTCCAAAGGTAACGAAACCAAAAGTACGAACTTTGATGGAAAACTTACATATTAAAAAATTGCCAGTTTAAAAACAGGGTCTGTCTATAATAAACAATGTAGACATTCCTGGCACTAAAAAGCATTTCCTCTGTTCCCTAGTTATGTCTCCAGGCCCCTCTTATATCATGCTTGCTTTCCACTTTGAATTTTAATTCACACACACACACACAAAAAAATAATTTACTGTTATGCAGACTACTGTATTATTGTAATAATTGTATAAATAATGTCAGTGCATTCCTAAGTGCACACTAGACTTGCCAGTTGGACGTGTATTGAACAAGTGATGTCAGTTGTGTACTCTGGAATATCGGCAAAAATCAAACATTTCAACTACTCTGAGCTCAATTTCACGCTACTTACAATCCTGAAACCAATCAAAATCATCATCTCTATTTCTGTAGTATATCTTCCACTCTATCAAATGAGACCAAGAAACCGAGAATATAACCATAAAAACATACAAAAATACACCACAAAGTCGCTGTTTTAAACCAAAAACACAATTGTAATTTTTTCTCATTATGCACTGCATGTCGCAGGATCCTCATAGACTTATTCTCTCATATCTAGGCCCAAATTTACTGCTCACAGCTTATCTGAGTGAGTTGAGCTCATGGCATAGTAATATGGGACGAAACTGGCTTCAAAGCCGTTAAATAACAGGACCGACAATGAAAGGGATAAGTGATGTTTCATCGTGGAGTTAGAATGAGATCTTAAAAGTTTTGAGTTGTAATTCATATATACTGGTTACAAGGAAGGTGGAGTAGTGATCAGTAGTATTATTCTACTTATTTATTTAGTTATTTATTTATTTATTTAATAATTTGAACATACATACAGAGGTACAAAAAAATACAGGTAAGCACAGCATTATGGGCAGGCTTAAAATTAACTTAAGATTAACTAAGCAATGATGTAATCAGTGGTAAAACATTATTGTAAACAGATAACAATAAAGCACAAATGAGTATTACAAAGACAGGTCACATGGTTGCATGCATTGCTGTGCATTCAGTAGAATGGAGTATTCTGTTAGGTAGTGTATTTAAAAAATAACAAAGTTAGATTGGGTCTTAGGTTTAACATTTATGTGATATAATTGTGAGAAACATTTAAGATATACAATTTATAAGGTTCAGTTATTCAGTACAGTGGACCCCCGCATAACGATATTAATCCATTCCTGAGAGCTCATTGTTATGCGAAATTATCGTTATGCAAATGAATTTTCCCCATAAGAAATAATGGAAATCAAATTAATCCGTGCAAGACACCCCAAAGTATGAAAAATTTTTTTTTTACCACATGAAATATTAATTTTAATACACACAAACTGAAAAAGGCATGCACAATTACATGACACTTACCTTTATTGAAGATCTGGTGATGATTGATGGGATGGGAGGAGGAGAGAGTCTTAGTGTTTAGAAAGGAATCCCCTTCCATTAAGACTTGAGGTGTCAAGTCCTTTTCTGGGGTTACTTCCCTTCTTCTTTTAATGCCACTAGGACCAGCTTCAGAGTCACTGGACTTCTGTCGCACAACATATCTGTCCATAGTGGCCTGTACCTCTCGTTCCTTTATGACATTCCTAAAGTGTTTCACAACATTGTCAGTGTACAGGTTGCCAACACGGCTTGCAGTAGCTGTGTTAGGGTGATTGTCATCAAAACAGGTTTGCACTTTAAGCCACATTCCACACATTTCCTTAATCTTTGAAGTAGGCAACTTCTTCAATTTCTCTCTCCCCTCCTCTGAAGCAGTTTCCTCAGGTCTGGCCTCTTGCTGTTGAAGTTGATCTAGCAGCTCATCAGTGGTTAGTTC